AACCAGTTTGACGAAGGCGTTTAAGTGTATTATAAACAGCTGTTTTACTACACCCCAAATTTTTAGCAATAGTGCGATCTGATTGTCTACATTTTTTACCATAAATAATAGCAACACAAGCTTTTGGGGTGAGTGCCTTCATAATTTCATAAAGCTTTAACTAAAAGTGAAATAGCTAAAAAAATTTATGTTAATGTTTATCATATAAATAAATAAAAAAATGTAATGTTTATATCTCGTGATCATATGATAATTTGCCCAATTTTGGTAAAAAAAAATTGTTCACATAATTTTGGTTATTGACTGTATATTATTATTATTTATTATATTAATTATTATAATTATAAGAATTTGTTAAGAGGTAGTAAACTGATTATTTAAATTAATATTGTTGTTAAGAAAGTAATTATAGCTTTTATTAAAACTATTTCTGTAATAATATTAGAGCTTGAAGAGCATATTGTATTTGTATTACTGCCTGCAATTTGAAGTTAAGTTTAATAAAGTTATATTTAAGATTATCCTTTAAAATTTTATTTTCTTCAGTTAAACAGTTAATCTCAGTATATTTATTATCTATACTGGCTTTATAAGGAGTAGGGTCTTTATATTCATTGTCTTTTATTACTAGAAAATTGTTTAACTTTTCAGCCTATTTAGAAATAAGAGAGGATATACCAAATAACTTCTCAATAATCTTAATACACTTGACAGTAAAAGAAAAGTTATTATGAATAGCAGTCAATTGACCAGTAATCATTTTCAATAAAAGTATTATTTAGTCAAATTTTAGTAATTCATAGTTTATTATTATATGGTTGTTGTTAGAAGTATTTTTGTTTAATGTTAGTTACCAAATCCTTGTTCACATAGATACTGGCTTTTAAAGTGTGATTATCATTTACTGTATATTAGTAGAATTTTTAGAAGGTAGATGTTGATTTCTGCTTTATTTTTAGATGTTAGAATTTTAGTTGTATCTGAATATAAAATGTTAGATTTATGTGAATTGAATTTATATTCTAGACATCTGATATTTTGATCCAAATTTTGTTGTTTTTAAGTTTGGGAAAAGGGGCTCTATAATTGGTAAACTAAATAAGTTAGTAACATTGGTATAGATTTTGCATTTGTCTATCTTTAAGAATTTTACAATTTCAGTGATAGTTAAAGGATTGATGGCCTAGAACTAAATATACAGTGGCTTCCAAAAGAAACGCAAGTGGCATTGCTTGCCTTTAATTGCCTGTAACTCACTGTGCACAAATGCTAGAAACATGATTTTGTATTTAATTTGAACCTCAAAACCTAAACGATCTT